TTTCCACGTCTCCATCCGTCCTTCTCACAGGAAGTTCCTGAGGTTCGCCTTCGGGGGTGTGGCTTACCAGTATCGGGTTCTTCCATTCGGCCTGGCACTTTCCCCTCGCACATTCACCAAGTGTATGGATGCAGCACTGGCCCCGCTGAGGCTCCAGGGCATCCGGATTCTCAACTACATCGACGACTGGCTCATCCTGGCCCAGTCTCGAGAGTTGGCGGTTCGGCATCGAGATGTCGTTCTGGCTCATCTGCAGCGTTTAGGGCTGAGGCTCAACGCAAAGAAGAGCGTGCTGGCGCCCACCCAACGGGCTACGTTCCTAGGGGTTGCATGGGATTCGACAACGATGCGGGCACAATTGTCTCCGGCACGTGTCGACACCATATTGGCTGCTGTGAGAGGGGTGAAGTTAGGCCACGCCATCACTATGAAACACTTTCAACGAGTGTTGGGTCTCCTGGCGGCTGCGTCCAGCGTAATACCATCTGGACTGCTGCACATGAGACCCCTGCAGTGGTGGCTAAGGAACAAGGGTTTTTCCCCGAGGGGAAATCCTCTCCGTCTGATTTGGGTTACGCGCAAGTGTCTTCGTTCCCTATCAGTTTGGAAGGAAACTTGGTTCCTGTCCCAGGGACCCGTGCTGGGAGGGTCTTGTCGTCGGCTGGTTATTTCGACAGACGCCTCCCTCACGGGCTGGGGCGCGGTCATGGACGGCCGCTTTGCAAGGGGATCTTGGCAGGTGCATCAATCCGAGTGGCATATCAACTGTCTCGAGATGTTGGCGGTGTTCCAGGCTCTAAGGAGTTTCCTGCCCGATCTCCAAGGCCACCACGTCCTGGTTCGTTCCGACAACTGGTGGTGGCCTATCTGAATCACCAGGGCGGTCTGCGCTCGCGCCCTCTGGACAGACTGGCGCGTCAGATCCTCCTGTGGTCACAGCAGAGGTTACTATCGCTCAGGGCGATGTATTTCCCGGGGACGCAGAATCAGGGAGACCTGCTGTCGAGGCAGGGGCTGAGGCCCGGGGAATGGAGACTTCACCCCGAAGTGGTGGAGCTCTTGTGCGAAGAGTTCGGCCCCATAGACGTGGATCTGTTTGCGTCTCAAGAGACTACGCACTGCCCACTATGGTTTTCTCTCGTTCCTCCAGCCCCGTTGGGTCTGGACACCATGGTACATTCGTGGCCGAGGCTACGTCTGTACGCTTTTCCCCCAGTCGCTCTGCTCCCGGGGGTTCTGGAGCGGGTCCGCCAGGACAATGTCGGCCTACTGCTCGTAGCCCCGTTCTGGCCAACCCGGGTGTGGTTCTCGGACATCATGTCGCTCCTGGACGGCCCACCATGGCGGGTCCCTCTGAGGAGAGACCTGCTGTCCCAGGCACAGGGCCGGGTTCTTCACCCTTGCCCCGCCATATGGCGACTGTGGGTCTGGCCCCTGAGGGGGCACAGTACCTAGAGGCGGGTCTAACAGCCGGAGCAGTCGAGACCCTCCTGGGCTCCAGGGCCCCGTCCACACGGAGGATGTACGGCCTGAAGTGGAGTGTTTTCTCCACTTGGTGTAGGGAGCGGTCGGTGGACCCTGTTACCTTCCCGGTGGTTCAGGTACTTGAGTTCCTCCAGGACCGGTTCTCTGCTGGTCTTTCCCCTTCCACCCTCAAGGTGTATGTGTCTTTCCACACCCCTTTGAGGGAGGGGTCCTTGGGGAAACTTCCCTTGGTTGTACGTTTCCTCCGTGGTGCCCGGAGGATGAGACCTGCGACTCGGTCCAAGGTTCCCTCTGAGGAGGGTGGGGGATCTCCAAGCGCTTTCGGTTTCCCCGCAAAGCCTGGAGTTTGCCCCGGGGAATATTAGGGCTATCCTGCACCCTCGTCCAGGATACATCCCTAAAGTGCCTTCTTGTGCGGCAGGGTCCACGGTGCTGCAGGCATTTCATCCTCCACCTCATGTGACGGCGGAGGACGGGAGACTTCATCTGCTCTGCCCTGTCAGAGCACTGAGTATTTACACTCTGAGGTCCTCCCGTTGGAGGAAGGCTGACCAGCTGCTAGTGTGTTTTGGGTCCCCCAGGGCTGGGCTCCCTGCATCCAAACATACGATTAGCAACTGGATTGTTCAGACTATTTCCCTGGCCTATCAGGTGCGCGGTTTGCCTTCACCTGTGGCTGTGAGGGCTCATTCTACCAGAGGCATGGCGGCCTCTCGAGCCCTCCTTTCCGGGGCCTCTTTGCAGGATGTTTGTTTAGCGGCTGGCTGGGCCACTCCGCACACATTCATTCGGTTTTACAGTCTTGACCTTCCTTCGGCACCTGGCACTCGTGCGCTCTCCTCTTAGTCGTGCCACTTTATTGCACACAGGGGCAGGCGGGGTTTTCGGCACGGTTTAGTGGGTATCTCGTTCCCATAGTGTCGTAACCGACGCAGTTCGAGTTCCCTCGAAGGGGAACGTCTCGGGTTACGTATGTAACCCTGGTTCCCCGAGAAGGGGAACGAGACACTGTGTCGGCCGGCCGCATCTCTCTCCCCGCCTGAAGCGCCTGCTTCATAGTTTAAGCTAATGATGAGTGTGTACAGGTGTGCTTTATACTCCTCCGGTTATTCCGTCACACCTTACCGTTCTAGCAACAAGCCAATAGGATTGGAGTGATTTCATTCACGTTCAGACCTGCTTCGCCTAGAGGCGTTCCCATAGTGTCGTAACCGACGCAGTGTCTCGTTCCCCTTCTCGGGGAACCAGGGTTACATACGTAACCCGAGACGTTTCTGCCCCTCTGCAAGGCTTTGGAAAGTTGGCCAATCAGAGTGGGAAAACGTCAGTAGCTTAAAAGTGTTAAGAGTGTTCAGACAAAAGGTGAATAGAGGAGCTCAAGCAGCAAACAGTATGAGAAAAAGAATGTGTTTTTTGATCATTAAAGCATGTAGACACCCAAAATAAAAGTATGAGCCTAAAATTAAGCATTACATAGGACCTTTTAAGGGGCCATGTGTAGTTTTCAGTGGCCTCTAGTGATAAGGTTTCAGATTGCAACTACTATGTTTCCAAGCGTGAACTAAAACAGAGACATAACAGGAAACAGCATCACACATAATGCTGGAAACTCCGGTAAATTCACACTGCTACATTACAGTAATATTTTTATCAGCTTGATATATCAGCATTGTAATCATCCACCCAGTGCTTCCTGAAGACCATGAGCATCAAGGGGGCAAAGTTGAGAAAGACCATGAGGGAGCTGGCTGTGTGTGCCGTGTGGTAGGCAAAGGTCTTAGGCATATTATGTTCTACTACTAGGGGGCATCCCTACCATTTCTTCACCATCCCAAGATGTTCCAGGAATAATGGAGCAAAACATCAGTGAAGGGTTGTTCCTGGCTGATGACCCTGCAGTTGGCCTGATGGCACTATTCGAGGTGACACTTTTGCCATTCAAGTTTTCTTGTGCTGCTATACCAGTTAGACCGCAGTAAGTAACAATACTGTAGTGTTGTTCTGCACCGTTATGTTGCATTAGTATATAATATGTGGGTCACATAAATTACAGCGACTGAGAATGGTAAAGAAGCTGTGTACCTGAGTATTGATATATCAACAATTAATCTAAATGGCATATTCCGAAAGCAAACATCGGCAGAAATCGCTCCACATTTGCTCTTTAACATTACTTTATTTCTTGCAGGTTAAAATCAACACTTTAGTAAGTAGATAGTTATATAGATTGCATTTAGGGCTCAAACGATTCTAATTAAATCGATTAATTCAAATACTAAAATGCATCGCAAATTCTTTGCATCGAGGCTTTGTTTAATCCATATAACTATATAGCACACTGTTTCACACGAACATTTATTACTGTTGTTTATTGCACTTATGATAGTCAAGCTAAAAGAAAACAACAACTCTGTAATGTTACCGTCCGTCCACCGTAAAACATTACACTGCCTCGGCATGCTGTCACACGTCTGACAGGCCAATGTGCACCACACAGAACACTGGCCGACAAATTGTGCAGTTACTGTGGCTTGATACTCATCAAGTAGGTTATTTGATTTCTCACACTTTTGCCGCCCCCCTTCCCTGACTCCCATTAGCCCTGAAACTGACTGTATTAATCAAACCAAAAATGGCAGCGAATATTGCCACAAATATTGCCCAATCAGGGGTAGAAAAGGACAAGTCTTCACAGAATGCGGGTGGGATTTGCATGGGAAGCTGCATTAAAGACAAACCCGGGACGCGGTTTATCCCATGCAAATCATCCCACCCATATTGATTCAAAACGGGACGCACTATTTAGATTCTGTATTTTAAAGGACCGGTGGCAACCATAGTTGTAACGTCACAGCCAAGCAAAAGTGCTTTTTTAACGAGGCATCAATGAATCGATGAAATATTCTGTAGAAGCTTCAAGTACTAAAATCATCGTTAGCTGCAGCCCTAATTGCATTAGCTGATGAAGTAATGTGGCAAGCCATAATGTTACAACTATAGTATTTTGCAACGGATAATGTTAACAACTGTTGACATTACCAGGCAAGTTAACGTTAACTAAAGCACAACATCACAATGCATTTCACATGGTTGCAGTTATGTTAGTTTACCTGTCCAATAGGATGAAAGCCTACTCTGGGTTGTTTTTTATATCCAAAACAAATCGAAGGTCTCTCCATGACTTAAACACATTTTTGAAGTTGACCGTGTTTGTCATTGTCTTAAGCTATCATATCCTTTTAGTCTGACAGGCTTCAGCACATAAAGGTTATGTGAAGTACAAAAAGTTTTGTGAAGTAACAACCTGTTCACAAATAGGCAATAAAAAAACTACATATAGATAAAGGTTTTTCCTTCTTTTTTTCACTATTCAAAGTGTGGGAGAGGCTTATTGTAACGCAACAGGATCCCAAGCATACTAGGAGAAAATTCTCCTTACTTTACATCAACAGAACTAAATTAATGTGATTTCCTCACACATTTTCCGTGATTTATAAAGAATCTGGAAGTCTGACCTCAGAGTCTTCAGTCTACAGTCTGGAGAGTGTAGAAAATCAGAAAACGTCTTCACTCCTGAATCTTGCACAAAATTCTTACTGAGGTCCAACTCTCTTAGATGGAAGGGGTTAGACTTCAGAGCTGAGATCAGAGAAGCACAGGCTTCAACTGTGATCTGACAGTCTGTCAGCCTGCAAAGAAAGGAAAACTTTATGAAATCACCGTTGATGTTCGTGTAGACCTTCAAAGTGAATGGGACAAGATTCTGCACCTCAGAGTCTCCAGCCCACAGTGTGGACTCTTCAGTCCTGCAGAGAGCCATTCAACTCCTGAATCTTTCAGGTGAGTGTTATAACCCAGGTCCAGTTCTATCAGATGTGATGGGTTGGACTGCAGAGCCGATAACAGGACTTCACAGTGAATTTCTGTGAGTCCACACCCAGAAAGTCTGTAAGATTTGAAATTGTGACTATTACAGCTTAACAGAGATTAACGATACAATGGCTACACAATCCAATACGCAATACAACAAACCAATAATGATGGCTCCAACTGTTAAATACTATTGTTGTCATTCATATCTGGACTTACCGAGCTCTTTGGCAGTTCCTCACAGCTGGAATCAGTCTCAGTCGTCCCTCCTCTGATGTGTTGTACTTCTTCAGGTCCAACTCATCCAGAACCTCCTCTGACATCTGCAGCATGTAGGCCAGAGCTGAGCAGTGGATCACAGAGAGTTTCTTCTCTGATCTGTTCTCTGACTTCAGGAACTCTTGGATCTCCTGATGTACTGAGTGGTCGTTCATCTCCGTCAGACAGTGGAAGATGTTGATGCTTCTGTCAGGAGAGATCTCATCACTGTTCATCTCCTTCAGGATGTTGATGGCTCTCTGGATGGTTCTTGAACTGGTCTTTGTCTGACCCAGCAGGCCTCCTAAGAGTCTCTGGTTGGACTCCAGACAGAGGCCATGAAGGAAGCGAACAAACAGGTCCAGGTGGCCACTTATACTTTTGAGAGATTTCTTCATGGCTCTCACCAGGAAGACATCCACGGAAGGGTAATCATGATTATTGTCATCTTTCAGGAAACAGTCACTGTTTTCACTGTCCCAGTCCTTCCCCAGGAAGTCCTCCAGTCCTCTGAGTTCCTGCTGGTGTAACAGTGGAACATGTAGACTGCAGCCAGAAACTCCTGAACGCTCAGATGAACAAAGCAGTAGACTGTTTTCTGGAAGATCACACTCTCTCTTTTGAAGATCTCTGTACAAACTCCTGAGTACACCGAGGTCTCTGTGACATCAAGACCACACTGCTCCAGGTCTTCTTGGTAGAACATGAGGTTTCCTTTCTCCAGCTGATCAAACGCCAGCCTCCCCAGCTTCAGAAGAACCTCCCTGTCAGCCTCCGTCAGCTCCTGTGGACTCGTCTCATGTCCCTCATCGTACTTCTGCTTCTTCCTCTTTATCTGAACCAGCAGGAAGTGTGAGTACAGGTCAGTCAGGGTCTTGGGCAGCTCTCCTCTCTGCTCTGTAGTCAACATGTGCTCCAGAACTGTAGCAGTGATCCAGCAGAAGACTGGGATTAGACACATGATGTGGAGGCTCCTGGAGGTCTTGATGTGTGAGATGATTCTGCTGGACAGCTCTTCATCACTGACTCTCCTCCTGAAGTACTCCTCCTTCTGGGCGTCAGCGAAGCCTCGTACTTCCGTTACCCTGCCGACACACGAAGGAGGGATCCGATTGGCCGCCGCAGGTCGGGAAGTTATCCAGACGAGAGCCGAGGGAAGCAGATTCCCCTCGATGAGGTTTGTCAGCAGCAGGTTGACTGATGACTTCTGTGTGACATCAGACACAACCTCACTGTTGTGGAAATCCAATGAAAGTCTGCTTTCATCCAGGCCGTCAAAGATGAACAACAGTTTCCAGACGGCGAGCTTCTCTGCTGGGACCTTCTGTAATGTTGGATGGAAAACGTGGAGCAGCGTGAGGAGACTGTGCCGCTCATCTTTGATCAAGTTCAGCTCCCTGAACGAGAGCAGAACCAGCAGACCGACATCTTGGTTTTCCGAGCCCTCTGCCCAGTCCAGAGTGAACTTCTGCACCGAGAAGGTTTTTCCAACGCCAGCGACGCCGTTGGTCAGAACCACTCTGATGGCTCTCTGTTGGCCAGGTAAGACTTTAAAGATGTCCTGGCACCTGATTGGAGTGTCATGGAGGGTCTTCTTGGAAGCTGTCTCAAGCTGCCTCACCTCATGCTGGGTATTAACCTCTTCACTCTGTCCCTCTGTGATGTAGAGCTCAGTGTAGATCCTGTTGAGGAGGGTTCCACTTCCTGTTTCATCACTTCCTTCAGTCACACGTTCACATCTCCTCCTCAGACTGATCTTATGTTCATCTAAAACCTCCTGCAGACCACCTCTCACTAAAGAAGAGAAACAATGTGAGATAAAACAAAGAATATGTGCTGATTATTTTCATTACTAATATAAAAACCATCAACATCAGAATATCTGAAGAAGCAGACAGATGTCCAGTCTTACTTTGTACAGAGCTGCTCTGACTGGCTGTCTGCAGTCCAGCTCTGGTTCTGGATCTGTCTCCACACTGGGGACAGGAGGAGTGTCCCGATGAAGCAGACTGGTCCCAGTATTGGGTGATGCACCATCTGCAGAACCAGTGTCCACAGCTGGTAGAGACTGGATCCTTCAGGACGTCCTGACACAAAGCACAGCAGGACGGCTGCTCCTCCACAGGAACAGGACTCCTCTTCCTCTCTCTGTGAAGACATTTCTTTAGAACTTTTCTGTTTGAATTCAGCTTTCAGTCAGTAATGAAGATGATTGTTCCTTTTATTTCAGCTCTCCTGCTCTCAGAAACACTAATTAACTGCTTTTCCTGTCTGACTGTCTGATTAAACATTTAGTGATCTGCCTGCAGTTTGTTATTAACACAAACTCAACACTTCCTGCAGCTCCTTCACAGTAAAAGCCATTAAAGAGAGCTGATTATGTCCTTCACTATTTTACATTCTGTTACGTCCCGGTGGCATCCAGGAGATGTGGGACTAACAGCTAATTTGAATTTCCGGGGTGGAAAGTCAAGCAGGTATCACAGGTTCAAGTTTTTAACAGAAATGTATTGTAAGCAGTGGAAACCGTAAGGAAATGGCTAACACAAGACAACACCCTGGACAACAGAACTATCCTCACCCCTGACACCATCTATTTCCGGTACAATGGAGGATTCTACAGACAGAAGCATGGCTGTGCCATGGGCTCACCGGTATCCCCGATTGTGGCCAACATCTACATGGAAGAAGTGGAGAATAAAGCCCTCAACTCCTTCAGAGGAACAGCACCGAGCCACTGGTACAGATATGTGGACGACACCTGGGTCAAAATCAAAAGCCAGGAAGTGCAAGCCTTCACAGAACACATCAACTCTGTGGACAGTAACATCAAGTTCACATGAGAAGATGTCCACAACAACAGTTTGGCCTTCCTGGACTGCGCTGTACACATTGAAGAGGACAAGAGCCTGCAGATTGGTGTTTACAGAAAATTTACAGGCTTTTTTTTAAACCCAAGAACACGCTAAGACAGATGCTGGTCCACCCCAAGGACTGCACCCCCAAGCACAAGAAAAGCAACCTAGTGTTTGCTGTTCAATGCAGTGAGGATTGCACAGACCTCTATATTGGGGAGACTAAACATTTACTTTTAGCTGACGCTTTTTATCCAAAGCGACTTACAATTGCTATACATGTCAGAGGTCACACACCTCTGGAGCAACTATGGGTTAAGTGTCTTGCTCAGGGACACAATGGTGGATGTCTCACAGTGGGAATTGAACCCAGGTTTCCCACATTAAAGGCAAGCATCTTATCTATGCACCATCACCACCCCACTACACAAACGCATGGCTCAACACAGAAGGGCCAACTCCTCAGGTCAAGACTCTGCAGTCTACTTACATCTGAAGGACAGAGGACACTCGTTTGAGGTCCACCAGGTGCACATTTTAGACAGAGAAGATGGATGGTTTGAAAGAGGTGTCAAGGAAGCCATCTACACCAGGGTCGAGAAGAACCCGGAGGAGGGGGTCTACGCCACCAATTATCCCCCACTTACAATGCTGTCCTTTCATCACTTCCCAGGAAACTCAACAAACGTAACCTATTGGCCTCAGGTGAAGATACCAACGATGGTCGTTCAGTCTTGGCCACAGGTAGTCTTAACGACTGTAACGACTGTCGTCACAGCAACCGGGAACACTAACGAACCAGCGGTATCGATGACCCGGGCCAACAACCCCACTGAGGTGGAATAGTTGAGTTTCCCTGCCAGTCAGTCAGAACTGAAGAAGTCCTTTGGATGAGGGACGAAACGTCTTCCAGTATCTTCAACCAAGTCCAGTTGCCCTTCATTTTAACCTTTGTTGGATAACTATGACCTAGAGGACTAAATGTTCTGTAGTGGTCCTATTAGATCTCAGTGCAGCATTTGATACTGTTGATCACTGCACTCTGATTAATAGACTGAAAACAACTGCGGGCATTACTGGATCAACTCTGGATTGGTTTTCCTCCTATCTTTCAGGAGTTTCTCTGTGTCCATAGGAACATATATGTCAGACTCTACTCCTTTGTCCTGTGGTGTGCCCCAAGGTTCTGTGCTCAGCCCCCTGCTGTTCAGTCTGTGTATGCTTCCTCTTGGAAAGATTATTGGTAGCTTTGAAGACATATCTTATCATTCTTATGCTGATGACATCCAATTATATTTATCTTTTAGTCCTCATAGGCTAGACAAACTGTCCTTGTTTCACAATTGCTTAGCCTCCATTAACAAATGGATGGTAGACAACTTTTTGCAACTATTCAGACAAAACTGAGGTGCTGATTTTTTCCCCAAACAACATTACCCCTAAAATTAGGCAGGCCATTGGGGCTATATCATCCTCGGTCTGTGGTGTTGTGCGAAATCTGGGTGTCATTTTTGATAAATCTATGTGTTTTAACAGTCATGTTAAATCTGTGGTTCGT